GGGTTCATGTGGGGACACACTGGTATTTCTCTCGCTGAATTATTGTCTTAACGACGACAAACATTGTTCTGAAAAGTCAGATACTGAACTCAAAATCTATAGAAAAACTTTGAGGAAAGAGAATGGTGAGAAAAGCCACAAAGACACATGTGACCACTCTGAAGGAGTAACTTCAGCATGTGGGAGGAGGTAAACTGTGCAAACAACAACTGTTGCCCTGGTTCTTCCTCAGTCTGAGCTTCATCAGAGAGAAGCAAAGAAAAGGCCACTGTTGAAACCGAGACCAAGTTGAAGCCTTTTGGCCTTGAGACAAGACACCGTGTTTGATAACAACAACGCCTTTTATTTGTTAGCACCTTTCAAGACATCCAAAGGCACTTTACAAAATTAAAAACAATACAGTACAAAATCAGAACTTATATTCACAGACAAAGTTTAAAAACAAGGCGAAATGATGAAGAAATTACTGTGAGAACGTTAACTTGAACAGAGGAGCTTTGAGTTGTATGTAGGGAGGTCTGGAGGAAGAGCTTTCTGGAGTTAGAGAGTATAGAGGATCAAATCTGTATTTCCCATGGTGCTGAGGCGGACAAAGGGTACGGTGAGGTGGATAGAAGAGAAAGAATGAAGGAGCAGGAAGCGGTGGTGATGTGCAGGAGATTGGATATACAAGGAGGGGCAAGTTTGTGGATGGCTTGAATGTGCACAGTAAAATTCAAATTTAATTCTGAATATGAGCAGAAGCCAGTGATGGAAACCAAATACAGCACACCACCACAAGCCCATCATCCTCACTGTGAAGCATGGTAGTGGCAGCATCATGGATTGTGGATGAGCCTTGGCAGCCGGCCTTGGACGGTGCATGAAGGTAGAGGAAAACAGTGGGCACAGCTAACCAAAAAATAGTTTTGCTAAACCACATTCCACTAATTAAAAAAATAGCTTTGCTAACTAAACAGGCAATTTTTTTTTAGCAAAAGCTAACGCTAAACCGTTAACCACTAAAACGACCGTCACTCAGTCTACGTCTTTGTCTCCTCCCAGTGGAAGCTGTGTCGACCACTCACATTGTGGTATATTTATCTAGACTGACCCTGGCTTTTTGATCTGCTCAGAGATGGGATTATAATGAAATTATAACCCGGTTCTGACTGGTTTAAATGGGGCCAGCAACTCTAAAAAGAGTCTCCCAGGGATTCAATATCTGTCAAGGAATAGTTGATTTTGCTCGCCACATCACGTAGAAAGGCTTTTGAAGCACCATCTCAGTTTTTCCTTCACATTAAACCAGTTACGATCCCTTGAGATCACATTTAGTCACTCCCCCTCATACACGTGACAGGTGGTGCTCCCTTTCAGTGAAGGAGGAGTCTAGGCTCTATAAATCTGGAGTGTGATGGGACATCCAGCCTCTTCCGGCTCCTGATCTTGCGTCAAGCATCGGAACTGGCCAGCGCTTTAAACTGTAACCTTTTCCTGCCTTAATTGGTAAAACTGAATTCACGTTTCCTTGATTTATTAATAGTGTGAGTTGCTGCTTCTGAGGGAGGTCCGAGGCAGGGGGAGCGTGAGCTCAGGGCGGACCTGGGTCCGAGAGGAGGCTTGAGGCCCACGGCTAGCAACAGCTAGCTGCAGTGACCCATGACCCACCATAAGTCAATAGTGCACCTAACAGACTCTTTATAACACACCCAAAACAGACAGGAACATGCTTGTGAATTTTGATGACAGACAAAGTTGGCAAAACCTGATTTAGCAGAAGCTAATTCCACTAATGATTTTGAATGTTAGCAAAAACGTTAATCCCCTAAATGAAAAATTAGTGCCCACGACTAGTAGAGGGTAAAAAGAATGCTACAAAATACAGGAAATCCCAGGAGGTATTGATGGTGTGTGAAAAGAACTCAAGCTTGGGAGAAGATTTATTATCAAGCAAGGCAATGACCCAAAGCATGCAGTGAAAACTACACTGAAGTAGTTTAACAAAAACAAGGTGGGTGTTTTGGAGTGGCCAAGTCAAAGTCCAGACCTAAATCCAATGGAGAACTTGTGGCTTGACTTGAAAAGGGCTTTTCATGGCCGATCCTCATCTGTTAAAGAAGAATAGATTCAAATTTCAGTGTCCAGACGTTCAAAGGAGGTAGTTTATGGCCTCAGGAAGCAGAGAAGGGACCGCACTCCTCTGATCACTCAGCCACAGCTGCCCATATAAAGTGGACTTTTTGATAAAAAAAACAAATACATTTTTGTTCAATGACAAAGTGAAAACTAGTTTCTACACAGTAATGCCCTGGCTGCAGTACTGGTGATCTGCTGCAGGGCCCTTGTATCTGCAGCAGAGCAAGCAGCAAACCACAGACGTACATCAGCACGGTCTCCATAGTGACACGGTGAAAGGACACCAGCAGTTTCTCCTGAGCACCTGCAGGAAGTGGATTCTTTGCCGGGCTTTTTCGACCAGTGCATGTTTCTAGACCAGGTAAGCTCGTCTAAGCTGTGGGTTCGTTGAAACCTGTAGGATGCCACCTTCTCCACACAAGCCCTGTTGATGGTCAGAGCTGTCGTCCTCCGGTGGGAGAGCTGGGAGTTCAATTCCACCAGCAGTCACTTGTTGAAGTGTCCCTGAACCAAGACACTGAACCTCTCATTGCTTCTGATGTGTGTCCCATCAGTGTATGAATGTGCTCTAAAGCACTCATTAGTCTCTATAGATAATTTATTCTGATTATCTATGTAAAGCTGTAGTAGAAAGCTGTATGAGTGTGTGTGTGGAGGTAAATGTGAGCACAGATTGTGTTGTAAAGCACTTTGAGTGTCTTGATTAGATAGACAGGCACTATAAAAGTACAGCTCGTTTACCATTTCACCATTTATACTGACCATGACTGATTTATGATGGGGCTGCGTGGTGGCACTGTTGGTAGAGCTGCCGTCTCTCAGTGAGAAGGTCGCCAGATCAAATCCGGACAGGGGGGCACTCTGGGTGGAGCTTGAATGTTCTCTCTGAGCATGCACGGGTTTTCTCCGGGTACTCCGATTTCCTCCCACAGTGCAAAAACATGCATGTTAGGCTCACTGGTAACTCTAAATTGTCCCTAGGTGTGGGTGAGTGTGAATGGTTGTTTGTTCTTTTGTCTCATGCGTCCCTGTGATGGACTGGAGACCTGTCCAGACCACCTCTTGCACAGTGATGGCTGGACATGGGCACCAGTGACCCCCACGACTTGAAAAGGAAGGAGCGGGTAAAATATAATGGATGGATGATTTATAATAGCAACAAAAGGTAAAACATCCAAGGTGGTGAATACTTTTAATAAACATTGTATGTAAGATAGTTTGATTTTTAAAAATAACTTACAAGGTGTGTGTGCAGTGGAAAATATGAGCAGTAGACATGGATGAGTTATGAAATATTTAGCACAAACTTAAAAGACGTGATTGTTGTCACGTTTGTGTGCAGTCAGGTTGCTACGAGTCTCTTTTCTGACGATCTCTGCACTATTCTGGTGACCTCTTTCTTTCTGCAGTTTTTCCTTATCTGTCAGATAATTGCAAAAGAAGTTGCAGCTTTCATAGATAAACCCAGCAGTTCGTATACTGTATGCGCTCACAATACCATACCTACAGTTAAAAACATGTTTTTAGCTTTTCTGATGCATTGTTATTTGAAAATATCATAAATCTTTAAGTATATCTTTTAGATAGAGTGAAAATGCTGTAAGGGTAAGTATGATGTTTTGTGATAAAGCAAAGTTGATGATAATTTTTAATTTGTCTGAACTCAGTTACGATGAATGTAACTGAAAACTATCACAAAATATAAAATAGCTCATCCATTTTAGCATTTATAATAATTTAACAAGATAGAGAAAAAAAACACATTAGCAATTGGATAGACCATGGAATAATTCCTGCTCACTGAATAATAATAATAACGATAAACTTTATTTATAGAGCACCTTTCAACAATGCCTTGCATTGACCAACATGCTTTACACGATAAAACAAGTAAAAACAGGGCAAAGAAAATCAGTGCAAATTAAAAACACAGCCACCATAAAAGGAGGTAAAGGCGATTAAAAAAAGTACTAAATACTAAATGTTAAACATCAAAAGCCCTTTTAAATAAATAGGTCTTCAATTTGGCTTTGAACAAAATCAGAGCAGAGAAATTAAATGGAGTAAAAGTATAGAACAACATAAATCTGAACCCAAGTTAATTTAGTTACTGTCATTAGTTTAGTGCTCTCATAACTTTTTAGTGACGGCTTTAAAGACTCCACTGCAGCGTAGATGATTCATGCCTTCAGTGTGGAAAAAAATACTTTTACTTTATGCAGCACATTATTCCTATAGGCAGTAAAGAAAATCGTAATTGTCAAAACATAAAAAATATTCAAAATTTCCATGTTTTTAACCCCCCCCCCCCCCCCCAAAAAAAAAGCAGCCATCCAATAATTGTTTCTTTAAGGATAAATAGCTTTTTACAAAAGGCACGTATCAAAAATGCTAAAAGATACATAATTTTGTCATAGATAATTCTAAATTGTTATGGTGCATGTTGAACGATACGTTTGATTCAACTGTGTCCCTTAAATAATTTTTTGAGTGCACATTGTTATAATTCAAAATCTTCTTTCATATATCTCTAGAAGAGTGTTTCTTCAGCTGTAATGTAGTTTCTGAAACAAAACTTTACAATTATATACAAAAACTTTTTTTTTTTTTAATGTGTCAAAAATGGGTCATTGCTCTGCAGAATTGCATAATGTGCATATTCTGTGTTTCGGCCAATCACTGTGATCTCCGCTGTCTAATTTGATTTCCTTCAGAGTGGGAGGACATCAGTTGCGTGAAGGAAGGTGTTGAGCTGCAGTCATGGCAGGACTGGCTGGTTTTGTTCTTCTGAGTGCTTTCTGTGAGTTCACTTCTTATTAGAACAAAAATACAGTAGTGTATAATATTTGAGTTTATTTTACACTTATGTGTTCCATTGTTAGTTTGCAACTCTGGCGTTATTTTTCTTTCTTTTAGCTGTGATTCAAACCCTCAAAGTTCCTGAGCAGATTCATGTGACTGAAGTTGAACTCGGTGGTACAGTGAGTCTGACGTGTGCGGCCCACGGGCACGAACAAGGATTGTTTTACTGGTTCAAAATTAATTATGGATTTATGGTCCAAACAGTTGCCAAGGGAAGTTTTGACAATGTCAATCTTGATGGACCATTTATCAGCTCGAGAATCACAGTCATAAAAAAGTCTGATGTGTATTCTCTCACTATAAGAAAAGTCAGGAAAGAGGACGAAGCTACTTACTTCTGTCAGGCAGGAGCAGCGTACACGATGATCTTTGTTAATGGTACCTATCTGGCTGTGAAAGGTAAGATGCTTTAAATGACTTTGGTATGGTTCTGTCATTACCTGAACAAATTAAAAATGCATTTTTTCCCCTTTGAAACAGCTTCTCACAATGAACTTGTCTACGTGAAGCAAAGCTCAGATATCAGCTCGGCCCCGCTTGGCTCCACAGCCACTCTGCAGTGTTCACTTTACTCAGAAAAGGAAAGAAACTCACATCAGTGTGAACGCAGCGCATTCTGGTTCAGAGCTGGGTCACGGTCTGATCCGGGATTAATTTACACACATAAAACCAACTGCGATCGACAAGCAAACAGAAGCTGCGTCTACCAACTGTCCAAAACGATTCACATGCCCTCAGACGCTGGGACCTACTACTGTGCTGTGGTCACATGTGGACAGATCCTGTTTGGAGAAGGAACTAAAGTGGAGACAAGTACGTTTTTAAATAGAGATATAAATGATGTTTCATATTTCCAGACCTCTAAAGTTTATTCATGTTAAATCTGCTTGAACTGCTCACGACTACACTGCACTGTCAGTAAATGACAGAAATTGATGGATTTTTATTGAAAGGGTCACAAACCACAACATCTGGGGAACAGTTAAGGCTGCAGTGTAAGAGGGTGCTCCTTTTTAGGTGGATCTTTGCCGACTCTGCTGTCTTTCCTCTCTTTGATTTTCTGTGAGCTTTGTTGTACGTGTTTTCTCACCATTTCCTGCGGTGCACTTCATGCAACAACCTTTTGCTGTTTGGCGTTAACTTGAGCACTCACAGGACATTTGCACGTGCAGTCTGATGCTGTATAGGACAAGGGTTCTCAAACTTTTCTGACCCCTTACAGGGGAGAAAATGTTTCAGGCACCCCCTCATGTTTATTAAATAATTTTCTTCAAATTGTCTCTTTAATGCAATAGAAATATTTGTGCAACATAAATACTTATAGTAAGACCTGTTCTTTAATAGTGTTAATACAATTTTTATACTTTTAAACATGGTGAATTTTTCATTCAAGACACACTTAATTAACAAAATTCTTAATTTCATCTTCCAAAAAATTTTGAATAAAATAGATGTGACACCTGCATTTTGGTGTATTTTAAAGGGTTGTTAAACATCTACATTCAAGATTCAAGGAATTTTATTGTCATTCACATCACATGTGGTACATGAGGTGGAACGAAACTATGTACACAGGGTCTAAGTTACATCCAACAAAAATACAAAATGTAAAGAAAAACTGTAGCAAGATCTGAGACATGAAATAAGAATATACTGCGTTCACTAAACTCAGACTACACAAAACTAAGAATACACTAAGCACTAATAGTACAAAAACAATGCGCCATGCTTGTTAAGACTGGGCTTAAAACGTTACTTTTTGATAAATCCTATAGTTAGGGTTGGCTTGTTATGCTGCCATAGGCTTAGACTACTGAAGAACAACTTGACCTCATTTCTTTAAATAAATTGTTACAAATTGAATAGTTTGCATTTGAAATTATTTCTATCTTAACATGTGATTCTTCACCTGCCATTGTGTATCTGTTCTTCTCAAACCCATCCGGTCGAAGCAGATGTCCGCTTGTCCTGAGCCTGGTTCTGCTAAAGGTTTCTTCCTCATGAGGGAGTTTTTCCTTTCCACTGTCGCCTTCAAGCTTGCTCAAGATGAGAGTTCTGTGATGGAGTTAAACTCAAAGCTGCTCTCCAGATAAATAATGTCATTAACTTGCTTTTTATCTATATGAATGGTTCTGTACAGTGTCCTGAGATGACTTCTGTTGTGACTTGGCACTTGAATTGAATTGTAAAAAACAACCAACCAAAAAAATTAAAATAAATATATATATTTATTTGAAAAACTCACGGACCCCCGGGGGTCCAGGGGCCCCAGATTGAGAACCGCTGGTCTAGGACAATAACAACAATAACAAAACAAAATCTAAATTAATCATTTTAATGTAAGATGAGAATCTACATAAATAGTTTGCTCAACTCTGATTCTTTATAATTTCTCAATAACCAGAAATCTTTTACATTTTGTTGTGTTTTGTCATTATTAACAATATATATATTTTGATGCTTTTTTATGTTGTATGATAATTATTTGTATTTCTACATTCTGCAGGATGAACTGTGCAGTCGTAAGTTTACAGTGGTGTACTTCATAAGGTGTACACACTCAGCGATATTTTAAACTCATTACCCATGTGCTGATTTTCGGTAACAAGCTCACAACACACTGAAGCTGAGGAGAAATAAACCAGTGTTTGCCAGTGACCCCCAGTCAGCTTTTCATTCAGTTCATGGATATGAATAGTTTGGACTTTTTCATAAACATCTTTAAAGTTGATCAAAAAGAACCAAGGTCACTGTTTTTTCTTAATTTTTTTCAAGCTTGAATGTAAGCAATGATCAGCATCACTCTAAAATCTGAGTTCATATTCAATTATATTGATGAAGCTGCAATCCATGATTGAAAATGTAAGTGTTACAATAACTGGAATATTTGTCTAATTCTAGGACAAGAAGTGTGTCCCTTTGTAATTGTGCTCGGAGTCCTGCTGGGCTGCTCTGTTCTTCTGAATTTTACGTTGATTTTCATCAAGAAGAAGCAAAAACAAGTTTCTGTTTATAGCAAAGGTATGTTATTTTTAACCGTAATTATAAAAACATTCTCACGACACACGGCTTCAAAACATGTGCTTAATTATGTGCAAGTCCTCATTGGTCAGTCATAATTAGCATTTAACCATCAGGTATTTTGAAGAGTTTTTTGTGCAATAAGGCACCAAGACTTGGCATCAAAAAGTTTTCAAGACACAGTTTTTGTTAATTGTTTAAATTCTGTATCACAACTCCACAACTTATTTATGAGAGCAGAAGCGACAGCATGAAAGAGGAATACAATCTTTATTAAAGTTTTTCAGAGGTTGCATACTAAAGCACAAAATAGATAAATAAATACATTTTGTGTGAAACATTAAAAGTCCAGATGTTCATTCTGTGTAAATGTTCTGTTCTCTCAGACTGACATGCAGTTTTCTTTCCATCACAAAGATAAATTTAACTTTCTGAAATTTAACTTGTTGATGCTGACAACACTGATGACAACCTTTAGTCCACCTCTGACATAATGAATATAACTTAAACAATAACAAAAATAATAAAAAGTTCATACATTTCAATTGAGTAGAATAAATTAAAGAAGAGACACATTTTCATCCTCTTCATTATGCTTATACAAAAATATGCTTAATTTGAGCTACAGTTTTATGTGAAAAGTATTTATTAAGAATAAATATATGGCATTTTGATAAATAGAAGAATAATTCCTGCTATTTTCCATTGAAATTAAATGAAGTGCAGGCTTAAAACCAGATAAATCTGTACCCAAATGATCTTTGTTACTGTCATTATTAGTTTTTAGCACTCTCACGATTTTAGAGTGACGGCTTTAAAGACTCCACGGCAGCATCTTCTGTCTGGAATAAATACTTTTACTTTTTGCAAACATCCTACTGTAAATAGGTCATTTGCTACAGGGACATGCTGTCAGCACATTATCACTCATGTATACAGCAAATATAAAACACTTACCTACGCAGCATCGCTCACACTGACCTGCATTTTTTCCTGTCACAAATGAAGCTGAAAAAAAACAACAACAAAAAACTTCATTTAATCTGATTGTTGCTTATTTTAGCCCCAAACACACCTTACAGCACTGCCAGGCTGAGGAATCCATATTTACTCTCCAAAAGCTACAGCTTCAACTCATACATTTGGATGAGTTTAAATTTAGTTTTTTTTAAGCAGAAAATTATCCTATTGCTTCTTTAGGTATTGTTTAAATTTACAATTTTTATAGAAGCAAGCTATTTTTAAAGAGAAGTCCAATATCTACTATTAATATGCAGAAAAAACACATTTTCCTGCACATTTAAATATTAACGAACGCTCCTGGAATAACTTGATTTGCTGTGTTTTAATATAATGTCCTTGTTTCTTTGAATAGACAATGCAACCACTTCCACTCGCACTAAATTAGATGAATCTGTCGAGGATGAGCCTTGCGAAATGGTAAAACTTATAATTTTCTTATTTTTCTTCATATTCAATTTTCCCTTTGAATCAAAGTATTAATAAAAACTTGAAGCTGATTCATTCTGTGTTCATATTTAACTGCAATAATTAGCAGGATGGTGAAGAGGAGGGGATGAACTATGTAGCGCTGAACTTCTCACAAAGACCGACGAGATGGGAGAGTAAGAGGGAGGCGTCTGGAGAATGCACGTATTCCAGCATCAAACTGTCTGTAAAGGACAGCGTTCGTGAAAAGTGATCATATTTTGATTTTACGTTATATGTGTTGCTGTGTGCTTCGCCTGTTTGTTTCTGTTTGTACAGCACTTTGGTTGGCCCTGTCGCTGTTTAAAGTGCTTTATAAATAAAATGGTATGGTACTTTCAGGTCTCTTGTAAATGAGTCCTCAAGTCTCAATGGGATTAACCTGTCTAAATAAAGGTTGAATGAATCTAAGATGAACCCATTCAGATGTTTCAATCCTCTCCACCTCACATCAGACTAGTAGTAAAGTACTAAAATTGAGGAAACCTCAAACTTTTGCTGTAAAGTTATTGTTGAAAGAGTTAAACAGTTCAGCACGGAGTACTTGCATTTTCAGACACTTTTCAAAACTCATTAAATGCTCAGTTGTTGTTATGTGTATGCTTTCTATTTTATTCTGTCCGGTTAACAACACAGTTCAAAAACTGAAATGATCTGGAACTGAAAGATATAATTTCACTCTCATCAGGGATGTTTTCAGTGCTGTAAACTGGAATTTTAACCAACTCTCATCATGGCTGTCCCTTAAAATACTTAAGTTATTTCACTTAGTCCAAGTCAAATTTTCTTTATTTGGTGTTCACATCACATGTGGTACATGTGGTGGAACAAAATTGTGTACACAGGGTCCCAGTTACATCCAACAACAGTACAAATTGTAAAGAAAAACCGTAATAAGATCTAAGATATGAAATAAGAAATGCGCTTAACTAAAAATACACTAAACACTAGTAGTACAAAAACAATACGCTGAACAACACAAGCACAAACACGAGTCTGTGTGAGGAGATGACTACGAATGAAGACAGCAGCATGAAATAAATCAGCAGCATGAGATCAGCAACATAAATAATCAGCAGCACATATCAACAATCAAGTGGCATTATAGTGATTTATTTTCTTCACATATATCCTGATTAGAGATCCATGAGTCCAACAGCTTCAGGGTAGAAGCTGTTCCTCAGTCTAGTGGTTCTACACTTAATGCTCCTCAACCTCCTTCCTGAGGGGAGTGGGGTAAAAAGTGTGTGTGCTGGGTGAGTGGGGTCCTTCATGATGCAGGTGGCCCTCTTCCTGCATCTAGAGGTGTAAATGTATGTGATGGTGGGGAGGCTGACTCCAACAGACTTCTGTGCAGCCTTCACCACTCTCTGCAAAGCTTTTCTTTCTGCAGCTGTGCAGCCTCCATGCCACACGTTGATGCTGGAGCACAGGATGCTCTCCACTGCACACCTGTAGAAGGAGGTGAGGACTGAGCTTCCCAGACCAGCTCGCCTCAGTCGCTTGAGGAAGTAGAGCAGAGTAATTAAAAACCTTCTTAAATAAAAATAGTATTGTTAACTAGAGCTCTGTCTTCCATTTGTAAAGCTTCATTGTGCCTCATGTTGTTGTCATTTTAATTTGATCGTCCCTTTAATTAGAAATTAATACAGCCCTATTACTGAATAAACCCTTGTGTTATTCCTATCTTTATATTTATTGGCTCATATTGGCTCTTAATTAGAAATCACAAGAAGTACAAATAAAACACTGCATAATGGGACATCCCTTCAAGAAGCTCATATCTTTTTAGGTAAAGATTATCAACCTGGATTTGCTGGAACTCCAATACGTCATGTACACAGATGAATATCGGCTTACCACCCTCTTATTTAATTTACTTTATTTTCTATTTTTCTGATTGTTAAAGATGATTGACAAATATATCAATTGTAAATTAATGCATTTTTTTGTAATAATAAAATATTTTAAACAGGGTAAATAGATTTGAGTTTATGTATTTATTGTACCACATTGTGAAGAAAAAAGAGAATTAGACATACAGATTCTTTGGTTCCAGTAGTCACAGTTAAACTTGGTGTACATGTGTTTTTACAAATACATTTGAAAGCACCACATGGCTTCACTGGTACAAGCAGACAGCTGGGAATACTTTGAACGTGATTTTGATGCAGCGAAAAAACGTGCCACTCATTTATGGACCAGGATTCTCTGACCAAACAATGAGCCCAACACATACTGACAAAATAAGCAATCTGACCATTCTGAGAACAACCGAGGAAGATGAAGGGATCTATCACTGTGCACTTATAGACTGGACTGAATCTACTTGGAGCGGAACTTATTTATCAATAAGAAAGCATAATAAAATGATACAGATTTTTTTTCACCCAGAGTTTTGACCCCATCAACATAAATTTAATTTCACTTTTCTTTAGCAGTTTATTGTGGAGACTTCAGGTTTTTTGCTCTTAGCATTTTTTTTTTCTTCTCAAAAACGTATAAAAACGTTAATTACCTGCAGTGTCCCCTCAGTGCGGACCGAATTTGACAAAAGTTCCTTCTCTTACTCCGCTCCCATTTCCTGGAACACCTCACAAAAAGATCTGACGTTGTTGATTTTGACCTCTCTAAAAGGGATTTTAAACAACTGTTAAGTTCAAAGCAAAAGTCAATGCAGACGTTCCTATTTTTAGTATTTTACACCATTTTGTAATGTAGCTGTTTTTAATTTTGTTTATATCACTTCTTTTGTTGACTTTTCATTTTACATGATTGTTTTATTGGGGGGCAGCACGGTGGCGCAACTGGTAGAGCTGCTGCCTCTCAGCGAGCAGGTCCCTGGTTCAAACCCCGGTCCAGGGGCCTTTCTGGGTGGAGTTTGCATGTTCTCTCCGTGCATGTGTGGGTTTTCTCCGGGTACTCCGGTTTCCTCCCACAGTCCAAAAACATGCATGTTAGGCTGATTGGTAACTCTAAATTGCCCCTAGGTGTGAGTGAGAGAGTGAATGGTTGTTTGTCTCGTTTGTCTCTATGTGGCCCTGTGATGGACTTGCGACCCGTCCAGTGTGTACCCTGCCCCTCGCACAGTGATTGCTGGACATGGGCACCAGCGACCCCCGTGACCCAAAATGGAATAAACGGGTAAAGAAAATGGATGGATGGATGGATGTTTTATTGGGGTGTGTACCTCATCTGTGGTTTTTGTTTAAAACCGTTCTCTTGAAAATGAGACTTTTAACATAAATAAAGGTTTGACTGAATGAATCAGGATTTATTTTTGTTCAATCAACACATTTGTGCCAGGTCTGTTTACAATCCTGACGCTATCTTAAAAAACTTCCAGCAGTCCACAAAAAGACGTATTCTACCTTCACTTTTATTGATAAAAGGGTTAAAAAAAAATCAAGGAGCAGATTTCATAAAGATCTTCTGATCTTTATGCTTTCTGTTCTGCTTTCTGTTATCTTTCTGTTCTTTGTGACAGGAAGGAAGTTCTGAGGTAACCAATCAGATGCATTTGATGTTTGGATCCCCACACTTCCCCTCTTACTTAAGTAACTGGTGTTTCAATGACAACAGTGTCAAGATGACTCTGTTATGGGTTACATTGTTTCTTCTTCATCAAGGATGTAAGTACCACTGACCGAACTATGACATTTTCTCAGCTGAATTAAAGAGTAATGATTATTTAATCGTATCCGGTATCATTTTATTGGTTTTGTGCCATTCTTTGTTGTTTCACTTGTATTTGTTATTAAATGCAGATGCTTTGGTTCCAGTGGTCACAGTTCAGCTTGGTGATCCTGTGACGTTGACCTGTGCTGTTGCAGATAAATTTCACAGCGTCACATGGCTTCACTGGTACAAACAGAGTGCAGGAGAAACTCTGAAGCTCATCATGATTCAACAACAAAACATCAAACCCACCTTTGAACCAGAATTTCCTACTTCAAGATTTAGTGCAACGAGTGATGAAAAGACAAGCAAACTAACAATCCTGAGGACACTTCAACAGGATGAAGGACTATATCACTGCGCTCATATGGACTGGACTCAATCTACATGGAGTGGGAGCTATTTGTCAATAAAAGGTAATTATGAGATTAAGTTTTGTAATAAAGATGGAAGACACATCTTTCAAGTTTATTTTTCCAGAACATCTCATCTGTAAGACACGTACAAAAACATTTTCCACACTTGCAAACGTTTGACACGTTGCATTCTCATACAAATCAGTGGATGTTTCCATTGATAAAATCCCATCAACAGTTTAAATAACATTTAATGGAATGGCATGCCATAGCTATCAGTGATAACTTATATGCTCTCCATCTTTAGTATCTTCGTTTAATCGGATACTGTTCCGTTCATGATTTTATGTCTAACAATGAAATAAATTAGTTTCTTAATTTATAAATGTAATTTTTGTAAAAAGTAAGCACAAGATTATTTGTATGCACTGCTAAGTCTTTTGCAGCGAAACCTAACAATGACAGACCATTTTACAGACCAAATTTGCCCAATTTCATATTTATATTTTTGGAACTATACCAATACAGACAAAAAAAATAATAAATAAAAATAAACAAAAAATAAACATTTGTAGGGAGTTAATTAAAAATTAGTTCTGTGTTTTTAACTCTTTTAGACAGTATCCTGATGCATGCTCAATAATTCAGGTAGAAAAATCATCCATCCATTATCTTTACCCGCTTATTCCATTTTGGATCACGGGGGTCGCTGGTGCCCATGTCCAGCAATCACTGTGCAAGGGACGGGGTACACCCTGGACGGGTCGCAAGTCCATCACAGGGACACATAGAGACAAACGACCATTCACTCTCTCACTCACACCTAGGGACAATTCAGAGTTACCAATCAGCCTAACATGCGTGTTTTTGGACTGTGGGAGGAAACCGGAGCAACCGGAGAAAACCCACGCATGCACGGAGAGAACATGCAAACTCCACCCAGAAAGGCCCCTTGACCGGGGTTTGAACCAGGGACCTGCTCGCTGAGAGGCAGCAGCTCTACCAGTTGTGCCACTGTGCTGCCTGTAGAAAAATAAAAAAAGTTAAATCTGGTCCTCTGGACATTCATTTTTTTGGTTTTTTTTGGAATGTCCAGAGGACCAGATTTAACTTTTTTTTTATTATTTTTTTTTAGATATTTTAGACAGTGGTCCTTCTAAGTGCACTGTGACCCCAAACTTGATTTACTAGGAAAATAAATTTTCTCTACACTTTAAAAAAAATCTCTGGCAACAGCTTTAAAAAATACACGTTTGTATATAAAATAAAATAAATGTGAGAATACACTAAGTAGTGGACACATCTCTCCAAAATTTGTACATTTAATCAACAGTTCTTGAAATTTGTCACCATTAGTTTTATTCTTATTCTTATTCTAGGAAACACTGAGAGGACATCAAACTACACGGTGGTATCTGCTCATCCAGCAGACTCGGAGACGCTGCAGTGTTCGGTTCTCTCGGACTCTGAGGACGAGACGTGTTCAGGAGGTCTCAGTGTGTTCTGGTTCAGAGCCCGGTCAGAAAACTCTTATCCACATATGATCTACACTGATGGATACAGACCTCCTAACTGTGATAAGACATCTGACACTCAGAGGAGATGCAGTTTTAACTTCACCAAGAAGATGAGCTCCTCTGATGCTGGGACGTATTACTGTGCCGTGGCCACATGTGGACAGATATTTATTGGACAAGGAACCAAACTTGACAGTGGTATGCTTCTGTATATTTTGCTAGAATTACTAAACCTACTAGTAATTTTGCTTTTTCATAATAACTTCTAATAACTTCTCTTTGTTTTCTAGACAAACCATCAAGTCACAAATATTGGTTACACGTGATCACAGTCATCGGCTTGGTCATATCTGTGATCATAAATATAGTTTTCATCTGTCACCGTATTCAAAAATCTATATGTAAACAATATGAAGGTAAGCGTTATTAACATTGTTTAACAAAACAAAAAAAAAAGACAAGTACTGGAAACAATGCTACATATTAGAACGCCTACAGATTTTACCTTATAGCATTAGATGAGTTGGCACAATCTGAGTATCCAGAGGTTGTTTCTGTGCACAGAAAGCTCCAGTTCACATGCAAGACAAAACAACTTAAGCCAGCCAGAAGACACTGTAAGTGATGATACTAAATCTGTCAGGATCCTTGTGTTTTCTGTTGTTTTTATGTTTTTGTGATTATTGTATTTAGTTTTCTCTTAGTCGTTTTTAATTGTTTTCAGCTTTCCCTGTGTTTTTTCCCTTTTGCAATGATCTCCTGCTCCTCATACTCTCACCTGATCCTCATTATCTCTTCTCAGGTGTTTGTCATCATCTGTCGTTAGTGTCCTTTAAAATAAGCCTCACATTGTTTGTCCCTTGTCTGTGGATTCTGCTTTCCACAGTCGTCATGCTCTGTTCCTCCACGGTGCCCTGTTCAGCTATTTGATGTATGTTTTGCTGCCTTTGTTTTAGTATTTATTAATTAAAATATGTTTCATTATTTTTATTCTCTAGTTCCTCACCCGTGTTCAACAAACTTCACAGAACATGATAAAATCACCTAAATTGTCTCTTTCTTTAAAACATTTACCAGTGCAGCTGGCTGTAAGTTTAAATCTGAAATAAACGTGTAATTTTCTGCAGACTGAAGAAGAACAGGATCTCAGTTACACTGCTTTGCATTTCTCTGAAGGGAAATCACCAAGAGGAACAAAGAAGAGATCGTTGAAGACGGAAGAAAGTGTTTATTCACAAGTTAAAAGTTCAGTTTGAATGTGTGGGCTGGTATTAAGAGATATTCTTTTTAGAGGGATATTTGTAAAAATAAGACACATTTTTGAAGTATTTTAATTAAAATAATTTTATGTATTCTAATTCTTTGAAATACAAAAAAAAAATAAACGATACAATAAAAATGTTAAACATGCTTATGTTTTTAAAGTGTATGAAATCATTAGTGTTTCTAATAATTTTTAAAAATTTTTTTGGTATGACTCTTGGCTATCTCAACACCTTCATTAGATACATTCCTTGTTTCAGTCACTGAAACATGTCTAACCGTAAGACTGATTTTAGGTACAACTGATTATATATACTGTAATAAATTATTTGTGGGCGGGGGGGGGGATCATTGCTAAAGTGAGATTTCTCAAATTTACATCTCATGATCACAAATTACTTTCACACAAGAATAACTGGATGTACATCTAAAACTGGTTATCTTAAAACCAATTCAACATGAGTGCCATAGCTAATTGACTTGAGCAAACACAAAATGGCTACAATTAGGCCAGTTTCACATATATTAAGCAAAATAATGTGATGGTTGCTGAGTCATTAACAACACATTCAGGGTGATGTCTGGCATTATCGCAACAAAATAAGCATAACTATATTTTCAATCCTTGACAAAAATGGCTACACCCCTGACAATTATCATAATAAGATGATGATAGTCTAAAACTTTGACATTAGTGGAGGGGGGCAATAAGCATTCTTTCACTGCTGAGCCTTTAACTTAGCCAAAATTGGTACTGTATGCCTGAAAGTAAGTTAAAAAAGATGGGTGATGTGAATGGTCATGGACCAGGTAATTAAACAGGTAGTCTCCTTGAGCCACAATAACTCATTTTCAAAAAAGACCCGTTTTAGGGAGCAGATGGTGGGGGTTGAGGGCCTTGCTCAGGGGGCCAGAGTGGGGCACATGAAGGTGTGGGTTTTCCACCCACATATATTTAATTTTTTTTAATGTTGACTGTACCGGGAGATGAACCTGCAACTTTCTGATCACAGACCCATCTTCTAACCTCTGCGCCACCACTCCCCCATGTGCCAAATCACAACAGAAGTCATCAGGGCACTGAACAGAAACATTTACATATAAAAACAAATAATTTAACAGAAACCATTTTATTTATATAAAATAAACACTTTTTATCTGAGGAGCAGACTGCTTTGAAGTGAAATCCATAGCAGAACTCTGAGCAAGTATGAAAGCAACAGTGGAAAGGGAAAAATGCCCTCATGATTAAGAATCCTTTAGCAGAACCATCAGGACAAGCAGCCATCTTCTTCGACCGGCTGGGTTTGGTAGGAATAGATACACAAAGGCAGGTTAAGAATCACATGATAAATAGAAATAACATCAAATGAAAACTATTCAATTTTAGCAAATCATTTAAGGAAATGAGGTCAATTTGTCCCAGTAGTCTAAGCTTAAGGCAGCATAACAAGCCAAACCTAATTATAGGATTTTATCAAAAATGAAAGTCTTAAGCCCCGTCTTGAAACTGGACAATATGTCAGCCTTATGGACAGAATCTGGAAGTTGGTTCCACAAGAGAGGAGCCTGATAACTGAAAGATCTTCTCCCATATTACTTTTGGAAACTCTAGGGACCGTGAGTAAGCCTGCAGTCTGAGAGTGAAGTGCTCTGTTAGGAAAATATGGAACAAAAAGATCTTGAATATAAGATGGAGCTAGGTTGTTGAGAGCTTTGTAGATTAGAAAGATTTTGAATTCAGTTCTGGACTTGACAGGGAGCCAATGGAGAGAAGCTAAAACTGGAGAGATATGACTCTGGCAGCAGCATTTTGGATTAAACTGAAGACTGAAAAATTAATTCCTAAGATACTCAGGTCCAAAAACTAAATCCTCAGTCTTGTCTATATTCAAAAGCAGAAATTTTAAGGTCATCCAGGTTTTTGTCTTTAAGACACGTTTGTAGTGTAAGTAGCTGATTGGATTAATTGGGTTTCATGGACAAATATAACTTTGTATCATCAGCAGAACAATAACCAACCAAGAA